ATACTTTACTGATTCCCATCGAACAACTCTTTCATAGCGCGCTTTGTACTCTAACCATCAAAGTCATACTGCAAAGCCACAATTTAGTAGAAAGTATATACTTTTCGTAAATTACTACTCACTACCATTTCACAACCCTAAAGGCACTAAACAAAGTTATGCCAATGAGATGCAGTGGTCACGTTTTCCACGTTTTCAGAACTTGACTTATTTCTTTCTCACTTTCTTAAGTTTTTAGTTTCTCTTCGCATTGGTTTTTTGCAGACCTCATTGAACTTTCAAATTTTATACGGCGTTTGACTGTCAGTACACGAATTTAGTAACTGTAAAATTGTGCTGCAACACAAGATACACTGTGTGTGTTTCTGTGGGTGGGTGTGGCACCAAATAGCTGGCCAACTGATATCGAACGCCAGTGTGGGATTTAACTAATGGACATTGTTATTTCGATTAGTTTGTGAGCGAAGCGCCAACGGGCAGTCACGAAGTGCGCAAAGCCAAGCAAAAACGAATGAAGTAACGGTAATGAATACAAGAAACAAAAAACCCGAAGGAAAGAGGTTGAGTAGTCGGAAAATATAAGCAACAAAACCGTTAACAAAGTGCTTTGATTGTTGTAATTGGCAAGAGAAATTTTCTTTTTATTCAGAACAAAAAAGTGAATAAAATTTATTGGAAATCGAAGCGAGCCGTTATTGCGCGGAGCTGTGGACGGATGGACGGAATGTGGATGCCAGAAATTGTTGCATGCGGCAAAGTGATTGCTGTGGCACGTTTTCGAATTTATTTCGGAAAACAATTTTTTTTCGTTCGAAACTTTCTTACTGTCTGAGAGGGGAACAAGCGAGTGACGAGGGAAGCAGCAATCTCGGCGCTAAACTGTGGGTAAAGGAAAAATTCTGTAGCCCATTGCTGGAACGTGCGTTTATGGCGCTGGTGTTATGGCAACAAGCGCAAATATTTCACTAGTGTTCATGCAACAACAACAACAATAATAACAACAAAGTGTGGGAAGTGATTTCCAAAACTAACCAAACAAAAATTTGTAACAAATTTGCTGCCACTTTTGCTTGCCACACACATTTTCTGGTGTTCGCGCTGCACTGCCGCAGCCACACACACACACATGTGCATACTTTGGTGGCAAGTAAACTCCGAGCGTTGCACGTTAATTAGCCATTTTGGAAAGTGTCAGCTAGAAGTCAAACTGTTCGGCCAACTATTGGACAAGACAAACCAAACTTCTTGTTTTTCTTTTGTTTTTGTATTTTTTGTTTCCTAGCCGCTGTAGGCTGACAGAAGACGTAGAGTTAGGCTGTTAAGTTTTTGAGGCCGGCCAGCAGTTAGCATGAGCACTGGCCGACAAGGGGCTAGAAAGGGAGCTGTTGTTGTTGCCGGCGGCCGGCAAGGCAGTAAATTGTGTGCGAAGTAGCTAAAGTTCAAATTTGATTTGCGAGACTTTCAAGTTGTGCGCCAAGTTGCACGATGAGTTGAGTGGCTTGAAGTTGGGACGTGCGTGTCCCTATTGTATTTATGACATAAGTATGTGTCTATGGTTGGTACGAATATTTGTAGTAGGTGACTCTATAGGAAATTGGTGCTCAAAGAAAATGTGTGAAACTTTAGTAAAGTATTGGGGTTTTAAAAGAGAGAAAGAGAGTGAAATAAACGTGAGTGTGGGAGAAATATGTTGACCAAAACTTTATCAAGGTATTATGGTTTTTAAGGAGAGAGATAGAGAGAGAGAGACAAAAACAACTTGACTGTAAGAGAGAGAGAGATACAAAAATAACTTGAGTAAGAGAGAGAAATATGTTGATCGAAAAAGAGATAGAGACAGACTGAAATTAAGATACACTAGACAAGGAAAGTGAGTGAGAGAGAGTTAGTGAATGAGAAAGACTGAAAAATAGTGAGCGAAAGAGTTTTTGTAAGAAAATTAATAACGGTTACTATGAGAGAGATTAATGAGAGAGAGAGAGAGAGAGAGAGAGACAGAGACAAAAATAACATTATTATGAGGGAGAAAGAGAGGCAAAAAACTTGATTGAGAGAAAAGGAAATATCCTGCGAGAGAAAGAGAGATGGACACAGAAAGTAATTGAGAGAGACTATAGAAAAAAGATAATGAGAAAGTTAGTAAATTGGCGTATTGAAACACACCTTTATGTTTTTCTTTTATTCGAAGAACTTGAGACTTAAAATGAGTTATAATATAGAAAGTAAAAATAAGGGGTTACTCAAACATCTGTTGACGCGGTAGTAGAAATTTCTCCTCCAAGAATGAATTGTGGCAAAATTTCGCATGAGTCAGAGGACAAGACAGTGCAGAGTTGCACCAATAGTGCTGCCTATTTGTTTGAACATGTTGTATAATTTGTGATATTGGCTACTCTCCAACGCTTGGCGCATCGAAGACAGCTTATATTAATATTGATTTTGGATCTTTTGGCATAGAGGAAACAAATTGTCAAAAAAATGGGAAAAATTGTATAGCTTGAGATGGGTAATACTTTAAATAATACTATTGTTTGCGAAAAAACCATCGTTCCAGTAATACTGTAACACTTGCATTACACATGACAGTATAACCGGAGATAACCTATACATTGGGTATTCGGAGAAGTCTTTTTGTATTTCTAATCAAATTCTAACAAATTTTTTTTTTTCATATTTATATAATCATTAAAGAAACAATACAATTGGGGTTGACCACTTTTTGCTATTTATCCGCCAGAGGCATTATTCCATCAGAGTGAAACTTTCGTCAGTGTAAATCGAAATTTCAAAATTTTCAGAACAGAAGCGAGGGAACCATTGTTGTGCTACACGAACTGATACAGCATCGTTTCCGTAAACTTCACAAATTTCATTGAAGGTTTGCGTGGCTTCTTCCCTTTTTCATAAAAAAATTTCAAAATATAGCGAATTTCTTCATTATTTGCACGCATTTTTGAAGAGCAGTAACTTGTTTTCAATTTCCCTGAATGTAATTTTTTTGGTCAATTGCTGCTTAAAATCTCACATTTCCAACACTATATGGTATGACACAATGTGATTGGTTGCACTGGAAAAATACGACGGTAACGACATCTATTAACAAAACTACGCAATTTTTGCCACCGTCGTTATTAAGGCGTCGTATGCGAACAATAAATTAATTAAAAAATATTTAATTCGGTTAAAAGCTTATAAAAATATACTTAAAAGGAGGCGTGTAATTACAAAAAACTGCAATCGTATGTTATTAAAAATTTCCTACTAGGTATTCATTACACTGTGCAGGCATGGCGTAGCTTTTCCATCTTTTTCATGGTATTAGCATGGCAAACTAACTAACGAGGCGCGAATTCTCGCAAGTTTGGCTTTATTTTGCTTTGGCAGGCTGTCAAAAGTGTAAGACAACTAAAACTAATAATAAGGCAAACAAACAATTTTTGTATCGTGCCTGGCATACACTAACACACATAAACATATAAAGTGACTGTATAAAGCATAAGAACACTAGAGAAGTCCAAACCATAACCACATGACAGCTTGAAAATTGCTTTATGGCACTACACGTCGCTTGACTCGAGGAGCTGCCCACTTTAGTGCCGCCACTGCTGGCACCGCTCCCGCTACCGTCACTGCTGTTGTTGTTGTAACCAACTCAGCTTTTGCACGTAAGTAACTGTTTGCCACTAGTATTTGTTGTTGTTTTCTTATTTTACTCCTTTGATTTTGCGATTGTTGTTTGCTTGTTTTCGCCTTTGGCCAATCACAAAGTTTTCGATAATGAAATCGAATTCTGTTTAGCCCCGGTTTGTTTTGGCTCTCAACTCTTTGAGCGTTTTACCGTCTTGCGTGCTTAGGTGCGTGCGTGTGTGAGTTTTCAAAGGATTTTTCCTACCGTTTTTTATTTTTGATTATTTCTTTCTGCTGCAACACCGCCGTAATTTATCGCCGTTTTGCATGCGATTATGTCAAATAAATCAGTGGGAGACAGGTTTTACGCCCCGCTGTGCGCCTTTTTGATATATTATTGCGAAAATTTAATATTTCTTCTATCGGCATAATTTGGTTGGCGGCGTTTTCAAAAACTTATAGGCGCGCAGAGTCGTAAATGATATTTGTGTTGCACGTAAATTATAATATTCGCAAATTAGAAAATATATAATTATGAAAAGCAGAGCAAACCCCTTCAGCTACTTTGGGGTACTAGATAGAGACACGTTAAGATATTTAACATTAATCTTTAGGGCGATAGGTCAGAAAACGTTTTAAAATGGCTGACAAATCGAGAAGACTGCACGAAATGTCGAGAGCAAGGCTCTAGGGTAGCAATGAAGCAGCTCTTGTACACTTTTCCCTCATTAGCAAGATTACGCTAGGAACATCTGGGATTCTTACAGTATTGAGGAGGTGTCGATAAAGATGCCAAAGAGTCTGTTAAAACTCGCGTCAAGCGCTGGCATCCTAGAGGGTGACAACTGCTCATGAACCTAGTAACTGAACTCCATCTGTTGTCGCAAAGGCCCAAAACTGGGCTATGCGTGACTCATTGGCTTACTAGATTAACCTAACCTAACCTAAACTAATATATTCAGTACTTAAACTTGATTTTATTGGTTATTTCGTTGTTTCGGTTTATGGACTACCCACAAATTCGGTTTACCATGGCAAGATCTATTAAATAATGATATTTTCAGACTTTTAACCTAAACCTAACTAGGCTTAGGAACTCTTGTTTCGGTTTTAGCGTTAAACACTTCCGATAAACCCGTAGCTTATCAAAAAATCTTTCCTTAACTCGTTTCTTGTTGGTGATTAAGGCTACAAAAGTACAAAATATAATATAACTCGTTCAAACGAAAATTTGCTCATTACTTCAACAACTCATGAAGAACACTTGACCGCTTTTCAACATAAAATCTTAAATTGGAGTTTTTGACATTACAGCCAGAAATATTCCTTCTGTGGCACTAAACGAGATTTTTAAAATTTAAATGAGGACTTACCTAAGTAAATTGGTAATCGATTGTAGTTGTCGATAAAAACACTCGATTAAAGTTTCCTTTCTTTCTTATCTGAAAGGAAATAGAAAAAGATTATAAAATTTTGTTTTTTGTGAAAACTAGTCATAATAGTAACATAAAACCAATAAAAGCTTTCTTATTTATACCTCAAATTGAGCTCACGATCTGAAATACTCAATTTTACACAAAATCTATAAAAAAAAAAAATAAATCCACAAAATATTGCCGTTTACTCTCTTGCAACATGCTACTACAGAGTATAATAGTTTTGTTCACCTAACGGTTACACGTATCAACTAACACTAATCGAGATAGATTTAGGGTTATGTATGTGTAAATGTATACATGATTAGGATGACGAGATGAGTTGGAATCTGGGTGACAGTCTGAAGATATAAATTTGGGGATTGCAATAGGAAAGGCAGCTGTGGGTAAAAAAATTTTAATAAGGGGGTGTGTTCCCGCTCTAACGCAACTATAATATTACGAGTATATTATAGGAACTACTACTGACAGTGTGAAAATGGATGAAATCGAATGATAACCCTGCTCACTCCCCCATAACGGTACTGAAAAAACTATTAAAAGCGTGATGAAGCAATAACTAAATAGTGGCATTAAATTTTACCTCCGAGGTGGAATGGGAGGGCATTAAGCCGCTCTACTGAACTACCAAATTTGGTACACGGCAATTCTCAGATACTTACATATTACAGTGTGAAATCTGACTACAGCCAAGTCTACTTTCCATACAAGGACTGGGTTTGGTCAATCAGTTTGAAAGACGACTATAAGCGACAGTAGTCCGATCTAAACAACTTTTTTAGGAGTTGTAGCGCGGATTTCGATTATTATCTGTGCAAAATTCCTTGAAAATAAATTTGCAAATAAAAAAGCCTTCCTAAAAGGAGCTGAGTTTAATTAAGCAGTTTATATGGCAGTTATAGTTTACAGTGGTCGAATATCGACGGTTCCGTTAATTACAGGTGCCTTCCAAAGTAAACAGGACGGTGGCGCCAACTATATGTTGCCTAGTGCGTTAGAATCTGCTATCTTTATCAGTGAGAATTTCATGACATTTCATAAATTGGAAGTGAAGTTATTGCATTTAAAGTGTCAGTATTTTTGTGTTATTGGTGCGAAAATGAGTTTCGAACAAAGAGCCAACATTAAATTTTGTTTTAAAATTGGTAAAACTTTTACCGAAACGTTTCAATTGATGAAGCAAACTTATGGCGGTGATTGCGAGAGTGCACAACTGGTTTCAAAGTTTTCAAAGTGGTCGTGAGGACATAAATGACGATCAACATGTGGGCCAATCAGAATCCGTGATCGCCAGAAATTTCATCGAAACTGTGCGTGAATTCACCAAAAATCATCATTTGAAATTCATGGAAATGGAATTGAACAACTCCAAAACATCGATGTATCGCATTTTGACGGAACATTTGGGCTTAGGAAAGGTATGTGCACGGTTTGTTCCGCACAAATTTACTGACGACCAAAAATTGGTCAGAACCCAACATTCGAAGGACGATTATTGGAGAAAAAATCACATTTTAACCATTAACCCCGTATTCACCTGATGTGGCACCGTGCGATTTCTTCCTTTTCGGAACAATGCACTTAAGGCTTGCACCGGCGTACTCGATTGACATGCTTTTGGACCGTGCACAAACTTTATTGAAGCAGAAGGTGTCTATTTTGACTAAAATAAATTGATTTTGCCGAAAAACCTTTTGGACTGTTTTTTTAAGTCCTGTTTACTTTGGAAAACACCTTGTCAGCAGCTTATTGGGTGAAAAAAGATCTATAGGTTAGTATCTCAAAAACTGAGGGACTATTACGCGTACATACAGTCCTGGAAACACTTTTCATAATCACTTCTTGGGGTGGAGCTGAGGACCTTCAGCGAATTTTTTTATCTCTTCGATCGAATGAAAACGTGTTCCACAGAGCGTCAATTTTAGTGTTACCCAAACAAAAGAAAAAATCACATGGAACCAAATTTGGTTAATACGGTGGTTGATCGATGATAACCATTGCGTTTTTGCCATTCAATTCGGTCACAATCGTACTCTTTCGAGTCGAGCAAGAACGCTTTTCATACCCATATACTTTTAATATAAAATATCCAAAAAAAAAAATCATCCAAACAGACTCGCAAGAGATGTCAAGCTGTCTTACCATCTCTCCAATACTTGCCTGATGTTTTTCAATCACCCGATCCTTCACTTTTTAATATTTTCATTGGTTGAAGAGTTCGAAGGTCGTCCAGAACGAATGATGTCTTCAAGGATCTCGCGACTGACTTTGACAGTTTGTACCACTCTTGCGATTGCGTTTTTGATACAAGTGAATCCTTATTAATAACATACATTTGTGGTCCCCCCACCTTGCCTTTGACAGACTAAAACTGCTAAGGCTGAAATGCCGCAAGTGGGCAATACTCTGTTAAGAAGAAGTAATAATACCAGAGGAAGTGCATAGTTATGCATTAGCGGTAAAATATCTAAATAAAAGTCAACAATTTTTTCTTCTTTTTAATAAGGCTATACGAATTTTTTACGTTTTACTAAGAACCGTACCTTAAATTATAGCGACTCTGGCATAACCAACCATAAGAAAGGAAATTTTTCCAGCCAAACTTAACATTTCAGAGCAAATATTTTTAAATTAAATTTTTGCAAAATATTAAGAAATAGCTACACACACACACATACTCTCACTCATAATATGTACAATTATTTACGCTTAGAAAGGCCGTATCTTTCATATCCGGCAGCGGATTAAGCAATTTCTCTTCATGCGAATATGTAGCGGTGCTGGAAGGCATTTCTTTCGGCTCAAAAAAACCGCTAACCAAACCTGACACAACAAGAGGTTTTATGCTTTCTCGCTTCTCGCTTAATGACCGCAGCGAACTTTGCACTGTAAATATTGTGCCACAAGAATTTCCACAATTCAGCAGCGGCGATATCCTTAAAAGCCCGCACAAAGTATCTCATTTTCTTTCTTTCTTTATTTGAGATATTTTCTATCTTCTTGTTGTTGTACTTGTTGCTTTTCTTGGGGTTTGTTATGTTCGCAGCTTTACACGTTTTCAGCTGGCGGCTTTCGCTGGAACGAGGTGGTGGTGGTCAAAAGGCCGTCACGGTGTACGCTCACCCACAAGCACACATACGTACATACTGGCTTTAGCGGCCAAGCAAAAGACCATAAACATAGAGGTACGTTGTGTATAAGTAGGTATGAGTGTGTGCGCAAAAAAAAATTGGGGAATATAAGAGAAGCATGAAATAACATAATACCGCACAGCAGAGCAGAGCAGAGTAGAGGAAAGCTAACGATTAAATATCTGCTGTAGCGCTGGCAGACAACAATCTCTCACAAATGCTGGCCTTTGTGGCACTTTGCCGCTTCTTGTCGTTGGGTCATCACAACGGTCAGCTGAAGAGGAGTGGAAAAGCATAAGGAAAGTATGCTGGCGAAACACACTCACATACAACACATACAACATATAAACATACATAAACACACATATTCATCCACAGGTTATTTCGAACGTGGGTGCGGGTGTGTTGGCGCGGTGTGGCCTGTTGAATGCTGGTGCTTTTATTTAGCCGTCGTTTGCTCACGAAAATGCCAAATTTTCTTAATAGCATTAAGGTTTTAAGAGTATAGCGTTTATTTATTTTGTATTTTTTTTTCGCTTTTGTGTGGAGGTTGCCAGTTCATACTGACGCCTGATAGAGCTTAGTTTAGGCTAAGCGCATTTTTATTTTTTAATTAAAGCAAACAGTATGTGTGCATTTGCGAGAGGAGACTTTCGTTAATTTGAGAATATTTTCTATTAAATCTGTTAATGACTTTTGGGTGCATATAGCACCAGGGCTTTATGAAAAAAAAAAATTATTTAAGTGGGAATAGCATACTATTGAGGGAACTCGTGTTAACTCGATAACTATTGCTAGCCTCGACTCTATCGCTGCTTTCAACAATCCCTAAGGTAAAATTTTCCACCCCTTTTGCAAAGTTGGGATCGTATGTCAGAAAAACGAGTCAATTATTCCCGCTCAAGGCGTTAATGGCTTTAAGCTTATATGTGTGGAAGTCGCTTACTACTACAAAAATACTACTATTAAAAGTAGAAAAATTTATTGTTTCGTTTGCTGTAAGGCATCTAGCGCTGTCTTTTTGGAACCAAAGGTCATCCACATCAACATCAATATCCACCGATTCAGGCAAAAAAAAAATTCAAAACTCTTGGCTTTATACGGTTCCCATTAACTTTAATATTAGTTTGTCAAAAAAGTCTTGCGGCATTTTCGCTAGTTGGCGCTGAGAGCGCGTAGTTCTAGTTTTATTCGTCGCATCGGGTCATGCTATACCTTTTTGGAAAGCTCATTTCACGCGCTAACATGTGTTTGATGGATTGTTGTTTCTTTTAAGTCGTTCGTGAGTTATAGCGTCGCAAACATAGAGCAAAATAAAGAGAAAATACGGCATATTTTACAGTACTACTACGATAAAGGCAAAAATGCATCTCAAGCCGCCAATAAAATTTGTGCAGTTGATGGACCCGATACAGTTTCCATTTCCACCGCACAACGATGGTTTCAACTTTTTCGTTCTGGTGTAGAGGTGGTCGAAGATGCGCCATGCTCGGGAAGGCCTGTCGTCAAAAATTGCGATAAAATTGCTGAATTGGTCGAAAGAGACCGGCGTAGTAGCATCAGTCAAGATCTGGGCATGAGTCATCAAAAAAAATTTTATGAACAATTGAAAATTAAGAAAAAAATTCAATAATAATGCCGCCTATTATTATAGTCTGCTCCATTTTTGAATAAATACTTAAGAAGACGGCCACCCTTAGAAAATTATTAAGTCCATGGCGCTGGTAACCAAATGAAGCTTTATCCAGGAAGTCAGTGTATTTTGTAAAAAACCTGATTCTTTTCCACCCCAGCTGCTCAAGATCTCTTAAGTTGGAATGTTGGGAGTCTTGAAATATGAATTTTTTCATACGACTAGTGGCTGGGGATTCGCAA